TATTAAAAAAAAAAAAAAAAAAAAAAAAAAAAAAAATAAAATAAAATAATGTAAACATTATGAAATAAAAAGAAAATATAAAAATTATTAAAAAAAAAATATAAAAGAATGCTAATATTATAAGCATCAATTTAATCATTTATTGAAATAAGAATTTATGTGTATATATATAACCATACTATATCAAAATTAAAAAAAAAAAAAAAAAAAAGAAATTATTAAAAAAAAAATTAATTTAAATTGTAAATTATTATTTATTTATTTATTTTTTTTTATATATATATTTAATTTAATAAAAGAAAGGATAATTACATTAAAATGCATAAATATTATTTTTTATAATTATATTCAAATTGTTAATAATATTTATATTATATAAATTAATAATTTACATTTAAAATAACAGGAAAAATAAATAAAATGAGAAAAAAAGGGTTTTTTATGAATGTCTACAAAGTAATTTTTTATGCTTGTTGAATTAAAGTTGGTATATCTATATATCTATCTATTTATATATATTTATATATATATATATATATTTATATATATATATATATATTTATATATATATATATTTATATGATTTTATTCATTAAAAATTTTTTTTATATCTGATATGATCATATATAAAATGAGTTTTTTTTTTTTTTTTTTTTATAATTATTTTTGTATTAGTTGTTTGAAGATAGATTGAAACTATAATTTATGTTTTATTTTACTTTATTTTATTTTTTTTTATTTTTGTAAAACATTATGTATATTTAATAATTGCATAATTTTATTAACATATCTCTGAATTCCTTAAAATCAATTTCTCCATCATTATTTTGGTCAACTTCTTTAAGTACAGTTTTCCAACATTCAGAACTAACGTCACTTAACCCGAATAATTGAGCCAATTCATTTGCTGAAATTTTTCCTGATCCATCTTTATCAAATAATCTGAATGCTTTTTCTAATCTTTCAGTAGATAATAACAATTTCCTATCAATAGCTACTGTTAAGAATTCTGAATATTCTATATAACCATTTTGATCTAAATCTATTGAACTTAAAATCTGATCAACTTCATATTCAATAGCTGCATTATCTAAATCACTAGTATCTTCTCCTTTTAATTTTAATAATTCTTTATAACCAATTATTAATTCATTTCTATCTAATTGACCATCACCATTCTTATCCATTTTTTTAAAAATTTTTGTTAATTCTTTTGTTTCATCTATTGTTGTTAATTTTGATCCCATATATAATAAAGCTGCTTGTGCTAATTTTTGAGTACTTTGAAATTGTCTAATATTAGATATACTTAATTCTAAAGATGGGATATCAATGTTCATATTATCTTTACTTGTCATTAATTTTATCCATTCATGTTCTAATGCATCTCGTGCTGATATTCTAACAGCACTTGTATACATCAACATTTTTCTAATCAAATCTTTTGCTTTATCACTTATTTTTTTGAATTGAGGTAAATCAAAAGAATATTTTCCTGCTTCTACTTTTTTTAAAATATCATATTCATTAGAACCATTAAATGGAGGACATCCTAAAAAAAAAAAAAAAAAAAAAAATTGAAGATATAAATATATATAGTTTTTTTTTTTTTTTTTTTTTTTTTTTTTTTTTAAATAAATATCCCAAATTATATACATTTATATAATTGTTATAAAAATATTTTCTTAAAAATTTCAATACATACATAAATATATATATATATATATATATATTAAGAAATAATATAAAATAATTTGTGAAAAAAATAAATTCATATTTATATAATTTTTCATTTTTCATATACCTGATAATAATATATATAAAATGACACCACATGACCATATATCACATTTTTCATCATATGTTCCATGTAAAACATCAGGTGCAATATAATAAGCAGTTCCAATTTTATCTTTCATTTTTTTACTATATTCAAAATGAGTTGATAATCCAAAATCAATTATTTTAATAATCATATCTTCTTTATTTTTTGTTTCTAATAAAATATTTTCAGGTTTTAAATCTCTATGTACTACATTATTTTTGTGCATATAAGTAATACCACTTAAAACTTGTTTAATTATTCTTGCTGCATCTACTTCATAAAATCTTTTTCTACTAATAATTTCATCAAATAATTCTCCTCCTGTATACACATCTGATACTAAATAATAATAATTATTATCTTCAAAAAATTCATATAATTTCATTATATTTATATGATCTAACATTTTTAGTAATTCTACTTCTCTTAATAAACTTTGTTTATCTGTTTTTCTTTTTACGTGTTTTTTACTTATTACTTTAATTGCATATTCCTGTCCAGTATGTTTATCTCTACTTAATATAACCTCACCAAATGATCCTTTTCCTAATATTTTTATTCCTTTATATTGTTCATTAAAAACAACATTACTATTTTGTATGAACATACCTGGTCTTAACTTACTATTATTAAAACTATTTTGAGCAATTTTTTTTGAGATAGCTGAATTACTTTCTTTTACATCTTTTTTCTCATCACTCCCTTTTAAATTCTTTTTATTTCCTTTATTTTCCTCATTTTTTGTATCATTAGAAGTTGATATTTCTTGACCCATTTTTCTATATTTAAGAGATATAAAGAAAAAAAAAAAAAAATGAGAAGAAAAAATGAGAAGAAAAAAGTAAAAAGAAAGATAAGGAAAGAAAAAAAGATAAAAGGAAGAAAAAAAAGAATTATATAAAATGTAGAAGTATTTCAACGATATTTATAAATATTCATTTAGTTGTAACATATATATTATTTTTATATTTTCGTCTAAAAAATAAGTTTAATATTAATACATTTTTTTAAACAATATAAAAATAAAAAAAATAAACTACTTCAAAGTTATTTAAAAATTGGAAATAAAATATATATATGTAAATTAATATATATCTACATATATATATATATATATGTATTTATAATTATATATATATATATATATTTATATATATGTATATATATGCATATTTACAAATTTATGTTAATAAATTTAAATTAATATATTCAGATGTAAATTTCTTTCTATATTTGCTTATTTCAATTTTTCCTTTTTCAACTTTTTTTTTTTTTTTTTTTTTTTTTTTTTTGNATTTTTTTTTTTTTTTTTTTTTTTTTTTTTATATTTGTGTGCATGTTCCACAAAAAATAGAAAAACAAATGCACTAACAAAATATTGTAAGCTTTTACACACAAAATATATATATATATTTTTTTTTTAAAAAAAAAAAAAAATTAAGAATTTACTTTTATGTTAATGTAATTATATATATATGTATTTTGATAAGAATTTTATATATAATATTATAAAAAAAAAAAAAATATAAAATAAAAAATATAGAATAATTATTTTAAATTATTTATATATATAATTTTCAATCTGAATTTATTATGTTCCAAACTTCACACAAAATTTTTTATTCCAAAAAAAAAAAAAAAAAAGAAAAGGAAAAAGAAATTAAAAAATAATTAGATAATATAAAAAAAAAAAAAAAAAAAATATACGTGCTTTTAACACTAGGGGTTGCTTTAATTATTCAAAAAAATATTTTTTTTTTTTTATATATAGCTTTTTACGAACTAATTAATTTAAATGTTAATTCAGAATTTGTTATATAAAAAAAAAATATATATGAAAATAAAACAAAATAGAGAGAGGAGAAAAAACGAATTGAAATAAATATATATATATATATGACATTTAAAAAAATTATTCTTAAATATATCATGTGTATATAAAATTATATAGATTATTTAGAAAGTTATGTAGTTTTATTAAATAAAACAAAAAGGATATACAATTTTTAAGCATATCTAAATTATATAAGTAGAAATAACTAATAGTAAATATAAAATATATAAATATTCTTATAATGAATTAATTAAAAAAAAAAAAAAAAAAAAGAAAAAATATTAATAAAAAGATATAAAGACGATATCGATTATGAATCACTAAGTAGAAAGAATAATAATGTATAAAAAAAAAATACGAATAAAATTATGGTAATACAAACATTAATTTAAAGTATGCCAATAATTAGGATACAAAAAAAATAAAATAAAATAAAATAAAATAATAATAATAATAAATAGAAATACTTAAATTTTTTTTTTGACGGAATATATAAAAATATACTTTTTTTTTTTTTAGAAAATAACACACAATAGAAAAGTATCAAAAAATATGGTTATTATACAACAAAAAAAAAAAAAAAAAAAGAAATAATATAATATATATTTATTATATAAAAAATAATAAAATATAATTATTTTTAAAAAAAAATAGAGTAAAAGGAATTTATTCTTTAAATTTATTATAAAAAATTATTCTATATATAAGTGAAAAATTTTAGAAACTATTTAATTTTTTCTTTTTTGAAATACTGTTATGTATATTCTAATCATATCTTATTATTTCGTTATGGTTATGTAATTAAAAGCATCCCTTAATTTAAAAAAAAAAAAAAAAAAGTTATTTTATATCTAAACTAAAAAATTTTGATGTTTTATTAATAAGAAAAAAAGAATATGCATTTTCATTTATAATTAAAGGTAATAAAATTTTAGATACACTTATTTATTCATATTTATCATCGATGTAAATTTGAATCATTTTTTCGTTTTTTTATAAATTTTTTTTTTCTATATAAATAAAAAGTTTTCTTAAATTTATATTAGACTGTGTCAACTTAAAGCTAAAATAAATTTCAATTAAATTTGAAATTAAAATAATATATCTAAAAAACTAGAAGGAAATTTTAAATAATTTTTAAAAAAAACTAGCTAAGAATATTTAATAAAAAAATATAGAAAAAAAAAAAAAGAAAATGCATGTATAATATATATATATATATATATATATATATATATATATATATATATATATATATATTTGTTATCAGCTAAAATATTTTATGTCTTATTTGGAAAAAATAATTTAAATTTATTTTCTTCTAGATATAATTTTACTATAGTTACATTTTTATAACTTTTTTTTTTTTTTTTTTC